GGGAGTGCGTTGTAACGCGCGACTCACTCGCATTTCTTAAATAGCGACGATTGTCTATCTGAGTGTATCTCTTGGACACAAAGTCGACGCTTTCTGTTCTTTCAAGGGCTGTAATACCACACCATTGCATGGCTCCGCTGTTGATTTTTAAAAGTAATTATTTTGTGCGAATTAAGAGTATCTTGGGGTAGAAGGTCACGAATGTGGTAAATTAGTTTCCTTCCTTCCGGTTGATTTCGGTAATTCTTTATTTTCAACTGAGCCGCTCGCTCAGCCAGGTCGATCTCAGTCTCTGTCGTCGATCGCTTCTATTACCTGAAGATTGTATGTCGTTTCCTTCATTCCAAGCTAGACCCATTTACGAAGCACAGTCGTGTCAATAATATTTCGGATCCGACAGAGTTACTCGAACAACACAATAGTCTGTTAGTGATGTGCCCTCTCTCTACCAACTGACCTGTGTAGGAACAAAAATGTGAGCTCTAGGATTGGCACTCATGTTTCACAATAGTATGAGGTGCTTTTCATTGTGGTTCTGTTGAACCGAGTCGAGTAGAACTTTGTCGAAAGATAAGTGGTACCGTCGTCTAGCAAAATTTGATTGATCGAGGAAATTGTGAAAAATATTTGTCACACATCTACCAATTCGGTCATTGGGGATGTTTATGTGGTTGATGAGTCAGTCACACTGTCACCATTCCTTAGAACTAGTGTATACAGTGTGCAATTGTTTCATCCGGAACTTGATTGATCGCTGCCAAACTCGCAATGCGTACAGGGTTAGTGGTAAAATTTAAGGTGAACAGGGATTGGACCTATTTTGAGGGAAGGGGAAGAAGGTAACCCTCCGTGGTCAACACACAGAGAGTGCACAATCGAACTCTGCATACATACCATTTCAAGCTATCTGGCCTGATGAGAAATGANNAGAAATGACAACGAGAACGCCACTGTTGTCCGTTCCCTGCCATATCTGTCAGTGTCTCCAACGAACCAGGTGCAGAGTCTTTCAGACCCCAGCCTGGAAGGCGTGTGATACCTACTCTATCTAATGGCTCTGCATTTTTTCATTTCTCGTCTCCACCTCATCTGTTGACTTCCGCGTGGTTTCCTCCAGCCCGGATTAGCTACAGCGAATAAAGCGCGGTGCGGCAGACGACAGATGGGCAAACGCGAAACATGCTCCAACCAAAGGAAGCTTACTAATCTGAATTCGATGTTCTAGCAAGTTTATCCTTGATAAACTCCGCAACACACGACGACTTACCTCCACATTATTAACCCGTTCGCTCCATCCCACATGGGCCAAACTACGTAAACGCCGATAGTCGAAAACTTCTAATCAACGGATATCTTCTACTCGCAAATTTAAGGTCTCACAACCATGAAGCAGAACTGAACGAACGCTAGCACAATGTACACAACCTTTCAACTTCAGTGAAACGTCGTGTCTACGCCAAAGGTGTTTCAGTCCTCCGTATGCTGCTCGAGCCTTGGAAATGCGATCGGCTATCTCCTTTGNCATTGGTCACGCAACTACCTAAGTAGAGAAAGTGATTCACTACAAGTAATTCCTGACCGTTTAGTTTCTCTTGTATATTCGAACCAATTCCAACGCTTGTTTCCAATTCAACATCGTATTGCATCACACTGAACGTTTTATTTTTCATGATAGGTCATGTATCCGGTTGACCTTTTTTGTGGTATTCCCCACGACTGTGTGAAACAACAATGAAATCGTCAAATACTAATGTGACTCGCAACCGAAAGCCGGTTTTCCTTTTTTTCTTGATCGCTTCGTTTACAATGGTAATAACCGGTCCTTTTTCTATATCAAGCATTTCCGTCGCTCATGTTATTGGTGGTGTGCAGTGGCTGGGGATAGTTTACCGTGATCGAAGTCTGACGTTCACACTCTCCGGGAAAAACGAATCAGAGGAATTGTTCGTTTTGCTAGCGATGTACCTGTTTCACGTTGAACCGCTTCTTCTTGCATTCAGTGACCTGTATCACTCCCTCTTTCTTAATCGCACTCTTCTCATGCATGCGTTTTCCCTGTTGTTCTCCGTGCTGACCCTGTACTCGTTCGTTCGTTCCTCTTCATCGATCCCCCGTTCAGTAAATATTCAGAGTTCTATGTACTGGAACAGAAATTGGTGGAATTTCACGGAAACGCAATCGGCCGACAACTGCCCCGTCGTCAATTCGTTCCGCGCACGTTCGAGTTTATGGACGCGAGACGGGAGGATTTCGAAACATACTTACAGGTAGGCTTATTCATATACCTTACACCGTGCTCTTTCTGTTCATGTACTCAGATGAAAATTTTGTCAAGTTTAATTTCGTTGTTTGTGCTTTTTAACCACATCGAATGATATGCTGATCGACGTGAATTCAAAAAAGCACTTGGTTGAACTGAATGGAAAATGATAATCTAACATCGTTTACCACACGATTCTCGTTTCTTTTCAAATTTACTCATATACTCCCGTTTATTTTCCAATCGCTACTGTACTTTTGCTTCAATACTCAATGGTCCGAATACTTAAGTGAACGTGAATGAGAAAAGGGGTTGTTTTGTAAATTATGTGCTCAAAGGGAGACGTTCGTTTTTTTCAAACTAGAAATAACGAATGAAAAGGTCACGAGAGGTTGACTGTGTAACCGTTTGGTTCTGATGAGAAGTCGTCTTACTTAGTTCAACGGATGTAATTCCGATAATCTATCTAGTGAAAGCGGTTGTATCCAGTATTCTCAATGTGCTTATTTAATAGTCGGTGTTAACGTGCTTCTAAAAAGATCAGCAAGGAATTAGATTTTTGTGCTTTGTGTAGAAAGGTTCCATCTGAATCTGATTTCATTACTGTTGGATGCAAGTGAGAAACAGTTAGCATGGATATTAATTTTTACATGCATTTGCTGGGGTGGATGTACCCCATAATTGCAAAAACCTGTTCGGTGACGTCAGCTGACAACCTTAGTTTCGAAACTTGGAGTGGAAAACCACATAATTCCCAGCTGGATTAAGCGTGGTATTGAACAAGCCAACAACAAAGCTGTCTACCATCAATGTTGGGTGGTGGTAAGTTTAAATATCAACACACTGAGAGAGGGAAACAAGTAGAAGAGCTTGATTGATGGACTGAATTAAGTACCCAAATGAGTATTTTCATTCATTCGTTTGAAATCATGCGTCTGTTTCGTCATCCATCGTTACCTCATGCTAGGGAGCCACGATTGGCTACCGTAACATTTGCAAACGAGAAGAACCTGGAAAAAGTTCTCTCTAGTGATCTCGTATAAGGTTCGGGTAGATCAAGAATACTTTTACATAGGCTGTAGACGAAGAGTGCACAATATCGCACTATCTCAACGAATGCACGGCAATCGGTAAATGAACGGGTTGTTCCAATTCATGGAGTCCCTCAACTGGGCGATCCAGATGAATCCCTATGTCAACAAAACGATTACAAGGAATGGGGTTTTCATTCAAGAGCTAATCAATTTTACCCAGGTTCTTACCAAAACAATTAGTCGTTTGCCAAGCTTACCGAACTAGCATGGGAATGGCTTGAGTATAATGAAACTAATCCTCGAAGCTAGAAATGGCCAACCCTGTGTTGCAGTCTTGGAAGGGGATTAGAAAAAGGGATCCACTGGAATTGTGTCTGAGACCACCACATAATACTAAATCCCAGCGGAGTACGATAACGGAAACCGATATAAACCGGCACCTCCCTCGACGAGTGTAGTTTTCATTGCTCCACATTCATCAAGCAGCACCGATCAAACCAATTATAAAAAAAACAATGTTAGCTGACTCCAATTCTGTCGACGGAAACAGCACCTCATGCCCAAATAGATTTCTGTACTGAGAATATCTTTCATGTTTTTATACCAATGCACGAAGCTACCTTAACAAATTCTCCGAAATAAAGCTTCGTTGGAAAACCAATCGGTACGATATTTTTGCTGTTTCTGAAACCTGGGTGACCACCAATACCCAGTCATTCGAGAGACAGTTATTATAGTTCATTGACTTTCACCCATTATACTACCACGTAACAGAAACCACGAGATTTGGAGCAGGTCGCGTACCATCAACACTAGATTTAGTGCTGTTGAACGAGGAGCTGATGGTGGAATCTGTGATTGTCACACCACCATTAGGAAGTAGTGATAATGCTTATTGAATTTCGATTACATCGGCCTCTATCCAATAAAACCGGTAGATCAGTACTCGTGCCATCATAAACCACAAAAATTTGCAAAACCTGACAGTACTTAAGCAAAGGGTCCTTCCAGAAGGCAATCACGATCCTTTGGTGGCATGGAATATCTTCTCAAAATAACGTTGACTGCGAAAAATATCAAAACTTATGCCAATTGTAAAACTCGGCAATCATCTATTCGCAGCCCAACAAAGAAATGGATAGAGCAAAAGAAATTTTCCTGGCGGGAGTAGAGATATTCATCTATTGAAACCTGGAATAGTTATAACTTATTGCGAAATTAGTGTACCAAGTTTGTGCGAGAGGACAATTTGATGTATCAAGAAACCCCAGCTTAAAAATTCATTTTTTTCATTTTCAATCCCAAACTGCTTTATAAACATATCCACTCCCGAAGGAAGGTGAAATGCGTAATGGCAGCATTGAGATCGTCTGGACATGTTTTAACTACTACATTAGAAGCAGCAGAGTCCCTCAAAACGCAGTTTGATAAAATGTTTGTTGCAATGACATAAAGCATTACAAATTTCCTGATTACCGTATCCGTGTGTGAAATATAAACATAAAAGCAATACTACTAACTTTGCCTTAGAATCAATCCCCAGGCACATACCTCCTCGGACTCTCATCTGATATATCCATATCCCAACCTCTGTCGTTTTTTAACGTAAGGTTGTTTAACAAGGTGATAATTCCGCATTCATGCAAGGAAGAGGCGATTTCGTCCATTTACAAAAGGGGCTCTCGCAGTGATCCCGCCAACTACCGCCCTGTTACACTTGGAAGTTATTGTGGCAGATCCGTTGATGGAGTATGCAGAGAAGCATAACATTTTGTCCCCAACTCAGTACAGATTTCGGCGCAAATGTTCCTGCACCACAAATCTACTTCTTGCACGAGGTGACAAAATCTGTCGATGCAGGGGAACCACTAGACATAATTTATTTGGACTTCTCCAAGGTAAACCACCAAATTCTACTTCAAAAACCCTGCAAATACGGAGTAAAAGGTTTGTTTATCGAATGGATAGAAAAGTTTTCCGGACAAAGACCCATGTCAGATTGTGATTCATTAACTGGACCCCTCACCGCTGTCCCAGGGGTCCCGCAAGGATCAGTGCCGATGTCTCGCCTTTTTCTTGCATTTCTAAACGACTTACAACATTTCCTTGAGCTCAGTACACTACTATTTGCGGACAACGCTAAAATCTGGAGAACAGTAACCCATTCAGAGGATTATTTTGGCTTTCAAAGAAATGACCAATGCAACCTGACGATGGTCAATCGCCAATGTCATTGAATTCAACGTTTCATAGTGCAAAGTTATTTCCGTGAGACACAGGACGCGTTTCTCCTATGTTCTGGGAAACCAAATACTACCGCATGCTGCTGATTAAATGGACTTATAAGTTATGGTACGGGACGCGGGATGTTCCGTGCACTGTGCCACAGCATCATCCATGGCTTTAAAGTAAGTTGGACTACTTAAACGTGCTTTCGGGCAGCTCGAAATTGCACTGTTCTCGCGCTTACTATAAGCGTTTTTTCGCCCACACACGGAATACATCGTTCAGGTATGGAATCCATAGTTGAGCCGCGACAAGCAAGCCTTAGGACACCCAAAAAGGTTGGCAACTAAAGTGGTAAAAGGTCTGTATGACAAGACATACTCCGAAAGACTGCAAATGTTGGTGGCTTTACTCGTTTCAGTTCCATCGACTTCGGGAGATCTAATCTTGTCATTCCACTTATTGCATCAACTGTTCTCTGTGGACTTTATCTCAAAATGATCAAGTCAAGGGCATCCATTGAATTTGGGGACCTAGAGCTATCACCTAGTCTGTCGGCATCACTCGTTTGCAGTTAGTGTGCGGTTTATGGAATCCTCTTGCATTCTATTTTGTGTGCTCCTACAGTTGAATTATTCAGATCGCAGCTTGACAAAGCATTGTAACACTTAATATTTCAACATCCGTGAGCGATCATGCATATACTTATTTTCTGTTTGTAAAGTTGTCTCAAACATTCCGTAAAAATCCTATGGAGCATGATAAGCGTTAGCTTTGTTAAGTCGCACATAATAAAAACTTTTAGCTTGGAACCAAAACACAGTGTGATTCCTCACTAATGCACTTTATAAATCGTTTCGCATTTTAACTGATATTCTTCCGATCGGTCTAATCCTCTAGTGTCTTCGATTTGCAACTCGATCCTCAATCCCCCATTCATATTCATCCACTCCACTTCACTCTTCATATCCCTTACATGTTTCTCTCATATCACCCCTCTACTTCGTTTGTTTACAGTTCCTGCTTGCCCAACCATTTCTGCGCAACAGTGAACTACTGTTCAATTTTCTTACCTCCAAAACGCTGTTCACAAGCAATCTGATGTCCGAGTTAAATTTGGGTCGACTGGTCAAGTCAGTTCCACTCAAACTGACTAAAGAAGTGAGTACCTTCATTTTACTGATCAGCAATTGTTTTATATGGCAACTGAGATTCGAAAGTTTCTTTCCATCGTTATTTTTGCTCTATATAACCATTCGAAAAGATCTTTATGCCAATGTTCTGCGGGAACACGTCCTGTCCCGGGCTTCGCGTTGCATCTAACTTTGAACTGGTTTTATTTTTATTTAATCTTCATACGATTACCGGCCCATCGTCTCAAAATGGATTTCCAAACACCACCCTCAACGTCGTGTCGGTCACTAGCCATTGGTTATCCGTGTTTTTTTTCCAGTTTGCTCAAGCATTAATTTTACATTGTTATGTGACAGTTTTGGTTGATATCGATAGGCTAGTCATCTCTTCCATCAATGAATAGGGGGTACATAGAAGAATTCCAAACTCAGCGCACTAGTAGGATAAACAAACAGAGAACGTATGTATTCGCACTTCCAGGTTTACCGCAATCGAGTCGAACGGACAAAATATTCAGGTGTGGTGGTTGTTCATTTTATGCTCTTTTGTCAGGAAAACCAGTGGCATTTACTCTTGTTTATTAGCAGTCAATAGCCTACATTCATCGAATCGGCCAACATTTGAAATCAACCACGAATCGTACGACTCAATCACGGCTTACCATATGATGCGCGCTCTCTATTTGGGAACGTCAGATCTGTCTCATCGTAGTCGCAGACGAGTGCTATATTACTATATGGTTTTGGTTCAAAGCTATCCTTTGCTGGTTCAACATGGATAGTCCAAATTCTGCAGAGTTTAGGCCTGGGGGTTTGCATCATAATGGATGAGCCGGTGGTTCTCACCCGAATCAAACAGTTGTATATTGTTTTCAAGGGGTTATAGTGGAAACTTATTATGAATTAACAAACGGCCGATGGCGACTGGATCTACGGTTAGTACTCTGCTCCCTTTGTTTACTTGCACCCTAGACCTGAGTAACCAGTCAGTACCGCGTTCTGTGTGTTCTCATTCACTGGAGCCGGCGATACCTTAAATGTTTTCTGTTTATTCCCTCCTAAGTCTGTCATTCGACGCTGTTTCACCAATGTTTAGAATCAACGCTTTGTTCGTCTCATGTTTCTGTTCTACGTCAATATAGCGTTGTTTTAAGGCTTGGATTTCTTCCTTAAATCACGAGTAACTTTCTGTGTTATGCCTGATTATCAACACTCATCCATCAATCACTTTCATCTGGTCTTCTCTTGTTATCTGATTTTCAACGACTGCATCACCTTTATAACGATTCTTTTTTCTTTCCGAATCGTCCGTTTCAGAAAGGTCAATTTCTGGACGACTTTCTGGTTTCATTTTACGTCTCTTGTAGTCCACAACCGATCATTCTCGAACCCGTTGATCCCCGTCCCCGGCCAGCAGCCACCGTGATCAGTGTTTTACCAAGCAGTGGTGTTGGCACACTGGGTGGTATGGATACGTTGGCTTCACCTGATCACTACTCAATCAAACCACGATCCGATTCTCTTCCGGCGAATCAGCTGTCCCATGCGACTATCCTCGAACGAGCCTCATTAACGCCGGCTACTACGGTCCCGCCGACAATGACCACAAATACTACAAACATTGGCAATGCGGTCGCCAATTCACCGGCTTCACGGCCCGTTCAATGTACAGTTCTGGACAACCGATTGCGTGCACGAGCCTACTGGAACAACGCTGGGTGGTCCAGTGACCGACGGAAAGAATTAAGCGGTCGGGTATGATATGTTCGAAGATTTCCCCGCATTCTCGTTTTTATATACATTGGCATAGTTTCTCTCTTTGTGGTTTTAAAGCTGTTTCTAGTACTTAGTCGTTTACCGACTGTTTGTGCGCACCTGTGCGTTAGTGTGAACAGGTCTCCTCATTCAAGAGACCTAATATAGTGGTGTGCATGTATGCTAATTTTTCCGGATCAGGTAGAGTTCACATGCTGTACCCAGTCGTACGCGAGTAGGCGTTGGTAGACCGATTTACTTCGGTCAATGTGCACATGTGACGATGCGATCGGTTGCGAGAAGTGATTGGTTGATTATTTTATTCATTTCTTCGTGTTTTGTCCCACGTGATTCCAATCAAGGAGCTGTTGTGTGATACGAAGAAAACGGTTGTTGTTGATGGTGGTGGTGGTGCTTATACAACCCGCTAAGTTTGGTGCTGATAATCGCAACCAATCTATCGTCATGATGCATCATTTCGATCATTATCTCAAAAGATGGCTGCATTTGTTCACAGTTTCAGTATTTCCCAATTCCCAGAATGAAGTTTACCGATAAGAACATTGCATCATCACAAATAAACATTTACCCCATCGACCTGAACGGTGAGAATGAGTGAGACTAGATTTCATTGATTTTCCATCTGTGTCTCAGTGCCTCAGTTACCGGCTTCTGTAAAACTGAAAACCGAGGTTTCTGTTTTTCTGAGACTGGAGGGGAAGCACTTCATTTATGCTACTGTTCCCCAAAAAATGACGAACTGGTTTTTCACCCTTCTGCCATCCATTTGTGCCACAAAAGTTTATCATATTGCTGCCATCAGTTTTTGTTGGCTTTGTGTACTGTAGATAGGAGGCCTGCGTATCACACACTGGGTTGTTTGGATTGCTGACCTCGTCAGGTTTTTTCACAGTAGTTTTTAATTGGTCGGGCTCAAATCACCTTATCGGGTTTCTACATTTTTTAACTAGTAATTGGCAACACATGTGATGAGCCGTAAAACTGTTAAAGTATAAGCTTGCCTATATTTTCATGTTTGGACTTGCCATCGAGTTTCAGTCAACAATGCCAATACCACCAACTTTTCTCAATGAAGCTTCATTTCTTCGGACATTTCTTGCATTCCTGATGCTTGTAAGTCGCTCCGGAACCGAAATACGTTTGAAATCCTTTGAAATACAGCTGATTTTTAACTGATAATTTGTCATATGAACTTTTAGTTTTCCCCTCCCAGTGTATGTTTCATTGTTTGAGTTTTCCGCGATAGTTGTTGGCTGAGAAGAGGGTTCTTTCTTATTTTAGATAGTTCTTTCATGGTGCGCGTCTCCTAGGGCAGCTATCGATTCTATCCTTTTCGTTACGGATGCTCTCACAAAAGTGAGAGGATGAAAAACGAAAAATCAGGACTATGAAATGCTAAATGAGCTATCAGGATTGATTTCAGAGTTCTCACAACGGGGCATATGAACTAGTTCTGGTGCTCCCTGGTTACAAAAATCATTAACTATCTTGGTTGACGAGGTTTCTCCCCACCCTAGGTACACGAACCGGTTCTAAAGAAATTCCGATTTTCACACCTAACTATTTTCTAAATACCAAGCCATTTCTGTACCTATCTTACTCGATCTTTCCTCCGGTTATTTACTTTTGCCGTTCCCGTTTCATCTCCGTTTTAGGTCTGTGGGTCTAGAATCTTGCGATGGCACGGTCTGACCGAGGGTATCCTGTTTCTTTTTCATCATTTGGTTGGTCATCCAAGTTCCACGCAATCGAGTTCCTCCGATGGAAATCGCAGTGATACGACTAGCACAAAAGAGCGCGATCCTCTGCTCTCGGACGAATCCGACGAACCCACACAGCCACCACCTACCCCACCCGATCCGTGGGATGTGAGTCATGCCGGCTGGAGCGAGGCGTTCCTTAACGGACCATTAACTTTAGACCAGTTGCGCTCCCCAACAGATCCTAATGATTCATCTACACCTCGTGCCCTGACTCCATCAATGACGGAATCTACTATAGCTGAGAAAGCCACGAACCATTTACCTTCTCAAAATCACGCGCTTCACAACAACGGCACTGAAAACCTAATCGCCAGTTCAACTAGAGTCGAACCGCAAATCTCCATCAGTTGGACCGATTGTCGTGCCGCATTCGTTCAGTCTTATCGTCTATTGTTCCATCATTTGACTGTCCAGTTCCGCTACTTAGTCTTGTGGATCTCATTTCAGCTGTGGTATTATCTACGCATTCCGATCGACCGATGGTTGAGTTCATATCTAGTGAGCTACTTGCACTCCTGTTTGACGGACAGCTACACAGCCTATGCCCTTCGGTTATTGAAGTGTGAGTTTTGAAGGCATGCGCCCCGGCAGTGTTGTTAACCTGGAAATGTGTTTTGTTAGTTTTTGTTTTCGTGCACCTGTTCTCTGTTTTTAATCTATCGAACTAAATGTGTTAAATGGTGCACTTGTTTTGTTTTACGGGCGTGTCCATACATCGTTTCCCTATTGTTTAAGTAAAAGAACACTTTGTCCGGGATAAGGTCGTTGCTTTTTCACGCTACTCTATGACATGAGCTTGTTGTTCTGTTACTAGGTTTGGCCATATTATCTTTGAAACTTCCGATAAAAGGCTCCCTATATATATAGATTAGGTCTACATTTAGTGCCAAACAACTCACAGTAAAATACCTTTTATAAAAAGGAAAAAACGTTCTTTTTTTCTCAATGGCGCGATACTGCCAGGTTGCCCAAGCCCGGACAGGGGATTTTTACTGGGGAATTCACGACGGGAGCCTTCGGTTCGCCAAAGCCTGGCCCGCAAGGCAGCTGGATGGTGTGTGCAAACCGCATTCCATTAGGAGCCGGTGTCCGTTTCATTGGATCATACACCTTTTGGACGGGGTCAGATGTCCGAATTGCCCAAAACACCTCGATATCCAATCGATCACTACCACGAACATGAAGGTGTATGTGTGTGGTTCGTGTGCCTCCTCTTGGTTGGTTTGGAATCAGGATTTTTAGTCGGCTCCCCTGATTTACCGACCCGGTTATAGCCCAGGATATTGGCTTTTCATCTTCTCATTTTGGTGGGAAAACGCTGCCATGAGAAGTCAGGAATAGGGTTGTCTCAGCAGAGTCCATTTGAGACACTTGAGGGGGAAGGCGGCCAGTCACAAAGCGAAACACCCACCCTCCCGATCATATTGAGGCTTTCGGAGGCAGACGCTAACGTACCATCCGCTTGACAAGCGGGCAGCCTATTAGATCGTCCGCACGCAATACAACAGCCTATCTTCACATGTATATTGCGAACATCGAACTCCGCTCACCTTAGCACTGTAATTTGAAACTTGATGTTTTTTTCGCTGAAGCCTCCTGCTGCTGCTAAAATATGGGGTCCGTGTTTCGTTCGATGGTCCTGCGCATGCACAATCGTCGAACAGATTATCTGTTTCCGACGGCCATTAGTGCCGCAGTGCTTGTTTATATTTTCTCATAGCGTTGCTTTAAATAATCGAAACAGTCGAATCCGCTATCGGTATATTCTGTTTACTCAGGTTCGTCCGATGCTAGCAACATGTCAGATCTGTATTTTGCTTTCATTATCTATTTTAGCCAGTACTATCACCCTCTTCCATGCGTTCGGTTTTCCTCTCGCTTTTGATCTGTATCGATGTCTATTCGATCAATGAATAGACTGCCACACGAAAAGGCAAAGTTGATGGTTAGATAAGTTGCAACCGAACCATAGAAAAAAGCGAAAACAACACTGGTCAAAGTAGCTTGCCAATCATTTACCATTGTGACCCATAATCGACTGGAGACGATTCGACAGACTATACACATGGATTAAACTACTATGAGTAGAACTGAAGTTGGTTAGAATAAAGGAGGTTTCCCCGTGTATCGTGCATATCAGTGTTTTTTTATTTTATTGCAGCCCTCTATTAGCTATCCATTGGGTGGAAAATAATCGGTTCCAACAAACGAACGAGGCAATTAATCAATAGACAAATGAATACGAATTGCCAGGCAGCTAACCGTGCACGATTTAGTTGAATAGTTCGCGGATGCTTGTTTCGGAGAGAGTCTGGAAGGTGAACACGTGATAAAGAAATTGTGACAAAATAAGAAAGAAATGCTCGAGGTGCACATACATTGGGTTAATTGGCGCTGGTCGTGTTGATTTGGGTACTATGCGAATTCAGGCGAAACAGCTCATAACAATAATTATTCGGCAATATACCACGATGAATCTAGCGGATTATGGATCACTCAGTCTGAAATCAGAAGTAAATAAAGGACGATTAAATTCAACAGAGTCACCTTTCCGCGCTGGGTGGCAGATGGAATAGGCTTTCACCCGGACTTTACAGTCTCATTTGAATGTGCACTCTTGTTTAAAAGAGCGATTTGTGCTCACCTGTGCATGTATCGCATAATTGTTTTATTTCTTCCTCTATGTGTGAATTTGTGCATTTCGAGTTCAAGTCACTTTTTGAAATTTTCCTTTCATTACTCAGTAGGCCAAGACGTAATGCTTTGTTTTTCTGTCCTTTTTCATCCAGCTGCTGTTTTCTTCCCGTACACTCCGAGGTGAGTCGCGTTTGTACCATAACAGGGTAATATTACTTTTTAATTTTGCTTATTATCATTCTCCTTGCATTCCGAATACCGTTCAAGTTGCATAGAAAGATGATTTCTTATCCGTTTGCTTTACTTATCGATTTGTTATGCTCAAAGCAACCTGACTTTTCGTGTTATTTTACACTAAAAATAATTACGTTTAAAGGCATCAGTTACGTAGTCATAAAACCCTTCCAGAAAATGGGAACCGATGGGTGGCCAAATCAAAGAATATTGGTGATAAGTTACGTTTTTCTAGGTTGAAGATTTATTTGAAAAAGAGAAAATAGAAAGTTGATGATTTTCCGACTAACCAGATAACCTAGTAAGATAAAGAAGAAATAATGGACAGTTACTTTTTTCTGTTCAGCTTACTAATTGCATAGAATACCGGTGGTTCGACCCCCAAATGCTCATTCTGGTGGCAGTTAGGAGCGAGAGAGAACCAACCAACTGACTCGGAATAAATCTTCAACTGTCGAGTGGATATCAGGTCACAGGTTTATACTTTTTTAATAGATCGAGAAAGCTCGAAATTCACCTCGCGAAGAGAGCGGAGTAAGAGGTGTATTTCGACTTTGACTCTGAGAAGTCATTTATTTTAGTACACATTACATTTGTGTGTTGCACAGATTATGGGGTAGATTCCTTAGTCGCGAAGACAAGTTGTTTAGTTTGGCAAACCTATAAACTAAGTCATGAGACTTGGAGTGGTGAACCAAGTAAAGCCCTAGGCGTGGTGTTGAACCGAATGAAAGAGAACCGGCCTACCACCAAAGTTGGGTGGCGCTTTTGGGATTCAAACGTCGGACCATAGAGTCCAAAGTACGCTGGTGAAAATACACCACCACAACTCGGCCTCCAAATAAAACCCATCTTTCCTTGCTTATTTTGTGTGGTAAGGATTAGGTATCCATTTTGAACAAGATGAAAACATGAATTTAGGAAAACAATGATGATAATGAAAAGTGTATATCGGTCCTATCGAACGAACAGTTTTAAGGTTGCTGGCTGCCACGTGGTTTGGTGAATCTCATTTTTTTCAACCTTTTTGGAGTTCAAAGTGGCCGTA